GATTTGACCATGAGTATCAATACTTTTACTCAAGTACTAGAGTTGAGTACTTTGTCCACCACTGTCCATTTACAAAAAATAAATAAATAAATAATTTAAAAAAACAGCCCGGACAATTCATCAAAGAGCATTTGCTAAAAGCTTCTAAATATTTGTACAAAAACTTTCAAAACTTGAGATGAATAACGTTGTTTATGAAAATTCAGGGCATTACTTAAGTTTTGAATCAATTTGTTACCACATAAAACACCTAATGTTTTCAGGATTTTTAGGAAACTCATTTTCCCCTTACACAATCTGTTTTGCAGACCTTGACATATAATTATTTTAGGCCTAACTTTAAGATATGATTACATTAGCAAGCATGTTATTGTGGATATCTTAATGATCATTAGGCTTGAACGAACCGTGTGGTTTATGTCACAACGGCCTGCCATACATCGCTCAGCCAGCAGAGCTCGCTAATCTTATAAATGTTAATAACGCACTTCATACAAACACCAAACTAACTGGGCACTGAACACACACTCACCTGGGGCTCCACGCGGCTGTCGCGTGTCATTCACCTGGCCTCCATGTGCTTCCACGCGCTGTTTACCTGTCGGTGGTGTTGTGGTGGTGGAAGCACCACAGCTGACAGAGGCTGACAGCGCCAAGAACAAACGAGGCATGAAAGCGCGCTGACCGCGGCTACAAGCGTCTCCCTCGGCCCTTAACTGACCGGGAGACGTTGTCGGCGCGTGGGGAGGATAAAGCAGGTTAGCTAGACCAGGTAAATGCTAAAAACGGGTAATGTGTGTGTGTGTGGGTGCGTGTTGATGAGGAAGAGGTGCACTTTAGCACTTTCATTAAGCAAAACGATGAGGTCATGGTTCAGGAGGGAGAGAAGTGGGAAAAAAATTGTCTACGTCATTCCCAGCCAATCAGCGCTGCTGGCTCAGGGTTAGGCTGACGTCAGCCTTTAGCTTCAAGGATTAAAAGGACAGTTCGGCTTTTTCTCTTTTAAAGGAGACGCGCTCATGAAATTAACTGCAGCAGTCAGGAAGAAGCCGAGATAATATGTATGCAAATAAACTGCTCCCAATGATGATAATAGATTTATTTTTTTTAATTTTTGGGTCACATTTAAATGCTAAAATAGAGTTTATTATCTGACTTTTGTTGTATGTCTTCACATGACTCAAGCACGACATTTAAATTAAAAAAGCATAATGCATGTTTTTTTAAAATTAAATAACCTGATATTCAAGATATACAGTAGTTGGTTTCTTATTTACCATAGAAAAAACATCCCGAAACATGTTGACGTCAATTTTATTGCTATAACACATAAAAGCAACAGAGGTCGACCAAATTTGAAGTGTTTGTGCTGTAAAAGTGATGCATTTCACATTAGATCAGTAACTAGTGAAAAAAACTAATTACCTTGTAATTTTCACAAGCTCAATCCACAATATAAACTTAATTTCTAACTTTTGATTTTTCACAAATTTTGAATCTTTTCTATAGCTCATCTGAAAAGTTCAAAATGTGTCAATAATCATTAAAATCACATTATTTCTTTGTTAGTTATATGATTTTCTCTGAAATGAATGTAAAAGCTGGTAATCTTATTAAAAAAACTTTTGAAAAATGTGTGGTGACAAATGCAGGATGACAGTAAACACAGTGGATTTTAGTTCTAAATTGAAAATCATGTTTTAAATTTAAATAATATTTTATTAATCAGTAGCTGTTGAAATTTTAGTTTTCCTTTCTCTACAGCTCTTGTGCATGAGATAATTAACTTAATTCTATTTTTAGTTGTCATTTTAATTTGAGCTTGTTTATATGAACTAATTTCAAATATAATGTGTTTATTTGGATGCAACACTGAAACTAATAAGATCTTGATTTGGTAACCAGAACTTACAAACACATATCTGCAAAGCAGTAAAAACCTAAATAAAACAACTGTTTCAAAGTTGATTTTAAATTTACTACAAAAAAATATTTGGGTTTTTCAATGTTTTCAGAACATACAGGGACTTTAAGGAGGAAAGAGAGAGAAAGGTAAGAACGATTTAAGTAATAAGGCAAAAATTAAAAGAGAAATAAACATCAATTTATCTCTGAGATTGCGTTTACATGCATGTCGGAATAAAATATTTGTGTAAGTGTGTGTCGGGTGTTTGAATTCAAATTTTTCAGTTCTTTTGTTGCATTGAAGGCCTTTGTTCTGCAGTCCTGCTCTTCAGAAAGAAGTCCTTCCAGTAACTGACAATGTGCGCAAACACTGACACCTAGTGGTAAATATGACGAACTGCACCAAATGGTTCATTTCTGGACACAAATCCAACTGAACAGAAAGCCAAAATAAATGCACAATTGAATAAATGTAAAAAAAGAAAGCAGCACAAATTCATGAAACTCTACCTTTATTTGGATGCAAAAACTCACAACTTAAAGCGATACCTTAGCAGAGGAGAGGAATACTGATTGCTGGTTGTTGGATGTTTGACTGGATGTTTTGTTGTCCACAGGAGGACCAGTGAAGCACTGATAACAAGCACCCAAAATAAAAGCTGTTGAGTTAAACACACTGGACATTATCAGAGGATTACATCAGAGCTCTTATGATCGATTGTAGCTTTTCTTGTCAGTCTCACTCCCGTATTTCTTTATAATTTTGGCAGTTTTACTTTCCTCATAAGGCTGATTAAAAAAATACTAATTGGTCCACACAATTAGTTAATTCCATCCTCTGATAATGTTCATGGCCAGAAAAGTGGCTTGTTTGTTTATTACATAAAAAACTATCTCCACTGTTTTAGCTGCCTTCACACATAGCAATTATTTCTCAACTGTGTGGTTGACTGAGAGTGGCCTAGAGTCACAGTTGGATATAGGAACTGTGTAAAAAAAAACTCAGTCTGAGGTAAAATTCTCCAAGAAAACGGTAAAAACATACACATAAAGCAAAGCATAATAAAGCAAAGCCTAAAGGCCTAAAAGTATCAATACTGAAGACTGAACATAATCTATTTAGTTACAATACTGTAAGGTAACTTAGGTAGTTGTCACATTTTGTTCTGTTAAGTCTTGCAATATAAACCAATGGTTTTGATCCACAGTATGAGCTACATTCCATCATGTTGTAAACAGAAATATACACAAGGCATCTACTCGAAAGGATTGTATCAAAATGTTCTAAAAATATCTCTGGTTGGTTTCACAAAAGCAAACTGTATCAAAAGCATTGGCCGAAAGCAAGCAATATAATAACAGGCTTTAAACCCTTTTACACAACGAAAAGCAGGACAATCAATCACGTCGCTTTGATTGTGGACCTACGGAGTCCCATACGGCACATGCAATCCATTAAACTCAACACAATCAAAAAACACAATACGGAAAAAGAAAGAAGATTTACATCAGAGAGACAACCTTAGTTGGTCATTTGTGCTTCATACAGATTAGGTCTGGCCTGTCTATACAACCATCATGGGCTTTTTTTTTTTTTTTTTCATTTCACAAACACGTTGAAGTTACTGCTGACAGCAGAGGCGTCACAGAGAACAGGAAACCTCAGACAGGAGGGACATAAATACTCCTTTTCTCATTTGTTACTGCCACCAAAAGCGAGAAGCAGTGTGTTTGTAGTGTTGGCAAAATTTGAACCAGTAGACAGATTTGAATAAAAAATCTAAGCCCTGTCGAGATGGCAACTTAACAATCTTAGGCAACATATGAGTGCGATAACGCAGCCAAATGTACAAATATTCAGCTAAGAGTTTGTGTGCTAGTAGTTGAGCCTTTTCTCAAACACATGATTTAAGTTGTCTGTTTGTTAGCAAAATATGTCATGAACTACTATACAGATTTAAAAGAAACTCAGAAAGTGATCATCAAACGTTCGTCTATAACGCAGGTATAAAACCAATTCAAGATGTCCGCTGCAGCTAATCAACATTACCAAAAACAAAAACAACTATAAATCAGTCGGTTTTGCAGATCGAGCTAAGTTTGGTGTGGTTGTAGCTGAGAGTCATCTTAAACATGTTCTCTGAGTGCTAACACATCGTGCGTAATTTGACTTACAAAGTTTGACCAAACGATTCCGTCCGTTCTCAGCATGAGATGGATTTAGCGTAAAACTTTGGTGATATGCATTTGTTTAACGAACGCTAGTTCTTCTTCTGTTACTGAAGACGTACGAAATTAAAAACCCCTTTTCTGTCTTTTCCCACTCCAGCGTTGTCGTCTCTGTGATGCCCCTGGGTGAACATCTGTGTGGCCTTAATGCAGAAGTTGTTTCCTGTGAACATCGTGGGCCGTGGAAAATGCACAGGCAGCGTTGAAAAACGAACAAAAACAAAACAAAAACATCCAAAAAACAAAAACGTAATACTGTAGTTCGCACGGAAATCCTAATCAGATAATTAAACCTAACTGTTACATTCCTATGCTCCATAGCATTGCACATGCCTTTAATGAACACTTAGCACCATGCAACCTGAAGATGAAGTGACTCAGGCCTTCTGTAATATATATTTATATATATATTTATAATTTTTACATTAAAATAGAATCAGTCTGAAAAGCTAAATGTTAGTTAATTTTTACATCATTATATTGTTAYATATTAGGCTGGCRTTATTATCTCTGTAGATTGAAACTATATTCTGGCACTTATATTGTAAAGGGCCCTTTAATATCAGCACTAACTTTCCTAAACTGAACTTAGATTTTTCCTAAAGCAAATTTCACTGCAGGCCATCTGACAGTGCTCCAGTTCCGGTTTAACCTTTTGATAGCTGTACAGTCATTACGTAAGGGAGCTATTTCAGACCAAGAGGGAAGAAAGGCCTTGACAACTGAGAGTTATGAATTTCAGCGTGATAGAAAACCTTAGCGGTGCAAATGAAACATCATCCGGAACAGGAGGCTTGGATTGGTTCGGAGGGAACTGATGATAGTTAGCATGTTGCTTTTGTTAAATTAATTCTTTGTTTTGTTTTCCTTGAGGATGAGGGGTGAAGCCTTTGGATGTTGTGTAAACTGTAAATCAAGACAGAATGCAATGACTGAAACTCTCATAAACCTACGCCTTATTCACAATGAACCTTACAGTATTAAACATGTCAAATGTTTAAACTAAGATGCTTTACCATTTTTTTACAGAACAAAAGTAGTGTTGGATTTGAYAACAGCACTAATGCACCCCCATATCATCAGAGAGGCAGGCTTTTGAGAACAGGCTGGATGGTCCCTTTTATCTTTAGTAAATAGGACGTGACGGTTGTAGTTTTCAAAGAGAATTTCAAAACGTGATTTGTTTCTGGATAGTGTTCCTTTGTGTGATAGAGCTTTAACCYTGKGATTCGGATAAGTTGGTGAATTGTGTTTACRTACAATATATGAAAGTGTTCCTGARCCCAAGATGTCTTATGTAGCACMTGTCCACATTTTTTAAAGATTTGTTGCTGCCATGAAATTAAAAATTTTCTTTTAATGGTATAATTTAAAAAGTTTAAAACAGCATGTTAATTATGTTCAACTGTGAATAAAGCAAAGGCTTAAGAGAATTGCATATCATTGCTTTTTTTTACACTTTACACAAAGTTCCACCTTTTTTTTAAATTGGTGTTGTAATCCTCCTTGTTTCCTATGTTCCAAGACAAAGGATAAGCACAGATGTATGAACTGCTCAGTCCCGTCTGATGAAGAGATTGACATGGTTTGACGTTGTTAAAGGGTGACGTTGTGWGATGATGGAGCATACCACCACGGGCGGTATGGTGTACAGTGGTGTGTCTCGGTCTGGGWGCGGCTGTTAGCCTTCCCTCTACTCCTCAGCAGTGTGAGACAGCTGCTTCTCATACAGGCTGAGGACATGATGCACAAACTGGTACTGCTCACAGGTCTGGATCATCCCACCTCTAAAAAAACACATAAAAGAATATACAGATTTTGGCATGTATTCAGTGTTTTATTTTWTGATAATATAACAGTTTTTCTGTGTAGCCTTGACATTGGGGAGGTTGTAACAAAGGAGACAATTAGACTCACAACCTTTACAACACRCTTTCACAACAGCACCTTCTAGTGGCAAGAAGTTATAATAGCAACAAAACAGAATATTACTTTTTGCATGAGCTGTCATGTTTCATTGTTTACTGCCTAAAGACAATGGAAAAAATGATAACGTTTTCACCCATGCCTCTGTGTGTGGTGCTCTTGTGATTTAAAGTGCCTGTGATATGCATGTTCTACAAATACAAAAAGTAAAAGAAAACATCTTTACATTTAAAAAACTTTGCATAATTCACATGATTTTACCCATTTTTTCTCATAACTGGCACATTTTCATTACTTGACTCAGCCAAAGTGAAACAGGAAGTGATGTCAAAGGGGAACTCTCAGGAAAGAAAACTCCTTGATCTTTGTTTATTGTCACTACTCTGATTCTTTTTCAACTCTCTGATAGTGACTCAAAAAAAATTAAAGAAACATCAGATTATTCTCTACAGTCTGTGTTGTTAGCCATTACAGCAACACTGTTCACATGCAGACATTCCCCTTTGACATCACTTCCTGTTACTTCACATGCAAATAACTCAATAAATATTCATCTCAGCAATGTGAAATTTGTTTTGCAATATATTATCAATGTTATCTTTCTAAAAATGCCTTGATTTTTATTACAAAAATTTGATGTCACAGGCACTTTAAAACAAAATCAAACTTTTTTACCATAGATTTTAAATCCAGATATATACAGAGCCGTGTGAGCAATAATAAAGGATAAATGTAGCTCACCTGTCCAGGCGGAGCTGACAGGTGGTTCTGAGGATGTCCACTACACCTTCAGACCTCAGCTGCTTACACAGGATGGAGGTGGCAATGAAACAGCCAGTTCGACCAATTCCAGCACTAAAAAAAAAAAAAAAAAAAGATGGGAGAACAAGAACCAAACTCAAGTACTTTAACGATTAGAACCTGTTTCACTTTGATTATTAGTAAAAAACAAACAGTATAAAGACAAAAAGCTAAATTATGGTTCCTAACATAAGCAGAAAGATGCTGACATCTTTGTTATTAAATACTTTATGTTGTAAGATTTTTCAGATCATTCAGCCCTCAACATCCGTGCCGCCTTTTTACTGAAAATACAGTTTCTTTCATTACAAACCAGCCTTTTAAAGTTCRGTACCTGCAATGGACTATTGTCGGGCCACTGGAGGGCGGAGCTTCCTCTCTGGCTCGYTCCACTTCCTGTACCAGCTCCAGCAGGGGCGGAGCTTTGTCTGGCGTCTTCTGATCGGGCCAGGAGATGTACCAATAATGTCTTAGAGTGCGCTCCTCTTCCTCGCACTGATACACAAACACACGCAGAACGGTGTGTGTTTTAAAGCTGAAGCAAACATTTTTAACCATTTGCATGTAAATGTTGTTATTTTGGTCTGAGTTGCTGAGGCAAAAGCTACCACCCACTAGATAAAAGCTTTATAACCCTCCCCCACTCCCCTGACAATACTGAGTACAGTCTGTCAGTTTCCATCATCCACATGTCAGCCACAAATGATTATTGCTACAGATACACAACAGAGGCAGAGATAAACAAACAAAACACTTTTAACTCACATTTATGCAATGATCACTCTGCTTATTAATCTAATGCAGGCTGCATTAGCAGAATCATGTTTGTATTTGATAAGTGCTGATTCCACCATGACCCCAAATTATATATTAATGATTCAAAATACATAAACAGCACTAAAACGTGAAAAAAATGCATTGTGTTTGTTTCCACTGAACAGATATTTATGTTGTGGGTCTGAATGCACCTTTGGTTTTGACTAAAGGAACCTGGAATCCAATCATGTTTGAACCATTAGTGCTTTTGTTTTTGTAAAATGAGGAGTTCTAATATGAACATGTTAGGCCTTTAACAAAATGAACAGGTAATGATAGATTTAAAGAAGATCCATCATCTTTTTTCTTTTTTATCATTCAGTTGGGGTTGATTTAAAGTGGAACTGCTATGTTTTCGTGTGAATTACTGCTTATTGTAACACCACAAACCCCTGTTTTCACTTCCAAGTACACAACAAAATGCATTTAACGGCTAAAAAAGTGGATTTTGAATGGCGTGTCCTCATTAAGCTTTTATTGTGAAATGCTGACAGTTACCTTCAGCGTGAACACCCTCAGACTGTAGTCATCCTCTTGGGTCACCGACACGACACTAATCTCTATTCCCTCATGGGTCACAGTGTCCTCAGGCCAGTACTCTGCACATTTCTGCTCAAAGGGGCACACAAGAGATATTTTTACCTATTTTGATTAGATGGAAAAACAGCAGATAACATAAATGCGTGAATACTGATTCAATGACACTATTCTTTTCCTGTTTATCCTTGTCTCTAGGTATTATCATCATTATCAATCATGTTTTCACAATGACCTCATTCTTCTCCTCCAGATTGGTGATCATCACTATAATGGGGCATTTCTCCTGCCACACCATCCTCCAGAAGTCCCCCACTGTGTTCACAGTGGGGCCCTGTGTGGCGATGTACGCCTGTTCTTCATCCCTATAACCCTGCATGCAAACAAGCAAAAAAATAAAAATAAAAAACACACACATGCTTGGGTTTGATAAAAGAAGATATTCAGCTCAGAACTACTGAAACTACTGCCTGTCCATCAATACAGATGTTTTTTACTTACTTTGAGATAATTAGCATTGATGTAGGTAGAAAGAAAATCATCTTCATCCTGCGACTTCAAGACGACTCTGCTGTGCGTGTCTGTAAGACACAAACATTGAACAGTGTTCTATAATTCACAGAATAACTAATTAAAATGAGCACATATGCCGTAATAATCTGTCAGATTGAAGCTGTATTTACTCGGTAAAATGGTTTTATAGCGGTTCTTTCTCACAAGGCCTGGATAATTGTACTCCTTGGGATCCACAAAATTCATGGGAGTTTCCTGGCAAAGAAAAAAAAAACTATTAGAGTCAGAACATATATAATATAAACACTAAAAACAAAAACAAAACAAAACAAAACAAAAAAAAAAACAAGGCCTGAACTTCCTGGAAAAAATGCACATCACCTTTCATGATAGAGCTAGACTCAGATCAGCTTACAGTGTGTTGAGAAATGACTAGTTGTAACTGTTGGGGTCAAACTTTGTAAACTCAGCTTAGGTTTACTCACTTTTATACTACATAAATATTGATTAGTGGTGACAGACAACTTTAATTGGATTTACTCAAAAAAGTAAACCAGACATGGATATTAGGGGTGCAACGAAACAGAAAATTCACGATTCGGTTCGATACTTTAGTCTCACGGTTCGATTTTTTTCGATACAAAAAAGAGAAATGTCCATGCTCCCTTTTAACTTGTAATTTATTTAAATTAATTATGAACATTTTTTAACCTCAAAAGTACAGTTTTTAAATTAAAAATTGCTGAAACAGCAAGTTTCTCAGTGGATCTGCGTTCAAAAATGCAGCCTAGGTGGAGTAGTCGAACACAGATCCACTGATCCTTCAACACAGAGCATCTTCAGAAAACAAGTTGATAAAGTAAATTTTAAAAATCTGTATTGTTCAATACAAGTGTGTATTGAACCTAAAGCACTGTTCGATACGGGTACATGTATTGTTGCAGCCCTAATAGATATATGTGACTATTATTAGTGGTTCATTCTAAGACAAGAAATATGAAATCATACAGTGCCCTTCATGCCAAACTGTTTCTGTCTAATTGTTTCTAACTTAAAGGCTTCTGATATTGTTTGTCTGAACTGTGTGGATATCTCTGCCTGGCAGACACTGCAATCCTCTGTGGGTTTTAATATGCAAAAATACTCGTAGCCCTTCCGTCCTTCGCCCACTGACAGACAGTGGGAAAGCTTACGGGTGTGTTCTGAGCTCTGCTGTGTGTGTGTGTGTGTGCTTGTGTGTGTGTATACATTAGTGCCTGCGTCTGTGTGTCAGTGTATGTCTCTTCCGGTGAGTCTGAGTTAATCTACGGTGTAGGCGGCCGAGCTGCTGCTGCACTCACATAAAACTCGGCCTGCAGGCTCTGGTCATCCATGGCCCTCGTGTGCAGCATGGCAGGGGTCAGGACGTGCGTTCCCTGTCGGAGGTACTCCTGGGCCGACTGGTCTCTTGGAGAGAGCTGGGCTCCGTAGCCGTAGGGCTCCGTGCAGCCTGGTGTGCACATGTCCAGCGTCAGAGAAACATTGGAGCCTCTCCTGTGTGATGATGAGGTCAAGGTTAGTTTGAAAAGACCAGAGGTTACATAAAATTAAAAGGCATATAGCTTTTAGCATTAAAAAGGGCCACGTTTTTTTTTTCGCCACAAAAAAATACTTGCTATTTCTGTGCAGAATGCAGATCTCTAACCTCTCCTGAAGCCCCACGGGTGTGACGGTGAGGGTGGAAGCGTCTGCTTCCATTCTGGTGTCTGTACCCATTTCAAACACAGGGGTCTGAGGCACAGGGTCAAGGTCCAGCAGGTCCTCCTGGGCGTCTGTCCACTCTGATAGGGTGAAGGAGGGCTGACGGCTCACAGACTGACGCCGGTCGCCAACGTTTCTCGACACTGGTTCTGATGACCACAATCCAGTGCCGTAACGCCACTTACAGAGCATGTGGATGATCTGAGTTGAAACCAACAAAACAAGCGAAGCATTAAATGTGAATACTTCCATCCACAAAGGTTGATTTAGGCCAGTAACTTAGAAAATATTTATATGAGACATAAATAAATCCTTTTTCACATTCAGCTGGGGTCTATATAGAGTGGAACTGCAATGCTTTGGTCTGAATTTCTCCTTATTGTAACTCCACAAGCCCCCCTTTCACCCCTTTTTTGAGGTGTGTCTCAGATCAACTCATTTTGAGGCTGTCTCTTTAAATCCAAACAAGGCGTTTCACACCCCGCCCCCTCCTCCATCTGTCACCAGTTCATTCTAGTTTCATAGAGGGGTTTACGACTATATAGCAGTGCAGAAACAGCTTTATTTACAAATGAATTAAAATATATCAACAAAGGATATCTTGTCCATCCAGCCTAATGTTGGAGCCAGAGTCTGACCCAGAGCCAGAGGAGAATGAAGAAGACTTAATGACGAATGACTGAATGAAGCTGGTAAGTCCAGACCTTATTTAGAAGTTCCGTCACAAATACTGTGATGTAATAGTTAAAAAAAAAACATTAAAGAGAACAGAGATAACTTAATACATTGAACAATATGACACAAACAGAAACTATGCAGCAACTGGAGAGACTAAATTCAAATTTTCTGCACTCCTAGAGATTCCAAACGCACAACAAAATGCATTTAACATTTAATAAAGTGGATTTTTCATGATATGTCCCCATTAATGTCTAAATAAACTAAAGTTTCATAAGCTAGCCTTTTACTACTTTTAGATATTAGTTTGTGCTCTTCTTATTTTGCTCAAACAACTCAGTTTCTGCTTTTTCAACAGTCATTCACAGTGCCATTTTTAAGAAAATGCTATTTTTTTAAACTATTTGTCTTGTTCTCTGAAGCTATGTTGCAATAATTCAACATTCAGGACAATCTCACAAAAAAATTAGAACGTCAAACTTTTGTTATACTAGACAGAAAATCAATTTTGTCTGTAAAATTTTAAAATTTTGCTAATGTTTTACCATAATAATACCAATGGTCACGCCAACACCGGATGTGCCATGGACGACCCAGTTGTGCTGTTTGGTGTTTTCCACCTCTTTCATCAACAAAGATGTCTAAACAACACAGACAAGCTCCAAATTAATGAAATAATGATTCATATCTGTTGCACCAAAGGTCAAATACAGAACCAACACTTACATCCGTTCCAAAAATAGGTGGGTATGGTAAAATGAAGCTAAAGTAGGATTCGATGACCTGCAGGGCTTTGTAGATGGACGAGAATGGTCCATTTCCTTCCAGCACAAAAAACACCCAGTACCCCTGAGAAAGGTAACAAGAAGGTCAGACAGCCACAACTCACCAATTACAAATGAAATGTTTGCAGTAAAAAGTCAAGAAAATGAATATTTTGCTTTGCTAAGGTTGCATTCATGCAAATGTTCAATTTGAATTTTGTCACCAAACCTAAAGAATAAGAAAACAAACTCTTATTTTTCCATTACTGGTTTACATACCATGACTTGGGAGACGACAAAGAGAGCAACCCAGCAGTGAATCTCAATCACCACATTGTACACACTGACAATAAACATCTCCTCTCCGTGTGGGTGTTGAAATCCCGTTGGTCCATCTTTACAGTCAAGGAGCTCGTCCTTTTTAGGGGCTCCATCGCCTATTTTGTCTATTTTTGTGGGTTCGTCCAGCCAGACAGGGTCCTCATCGGGTTTCAAGAAGATGGAGTCTTCGGTGTGCGAACGAGTGGAGCTGCTCAGCCGACGGGTCATGATCCTCCTGTTAAATGAGGTTCTTTTATGTTAAAATTATCAGTTGGCTCTTTGTTAGCAGGATTCTGGTTTTTCATTAATAAGCAACATCGATAGCATTTGCTTTTCTTTACAAATCATCAGACAATCTCCCAAAAATCAGATTTGCAAGGGAGAACAGCAATAAGAATGTACAAGCTTCAAGAGCGTCTAAAAATGATACTAAACTGCCTGCTATAATGTCTGCTTTGACTAAAGGGATAGTGGAGAAATGTAAAAGTTATGAGCAATTAGTGTCTGAACAGTTACATTTTGGAGAAATATTGTTCAACTCTGATTGGACTAAAGAGGTAATGGCGAATCTGAGGGGGCCAAGTCTAAAGTCTACTGCCATTTTAAAACATCACCAACATCATTTTATAAACCTTCAAACCACCATCAGTTTCACATTAAATGGCTAATTTAGCTACAATTCCAGTTTTTGCTGCTGTGAGATATTTTCTGACCGGTAAACTGAATTTTACATTCACTGTTGTATTTTATACTTTGTGATCGATTGTATGTATTTACATTAAACCAGGGCCACCCCTAGCCAATTTGGTCCCTAGGCAAGATTTCAGGTGGCAATTTTTGTCTCACTGCTATATACATTCACATACCAAATGAAAGAGTTTTGTCTCTGATAWTGTTTTTTTAGAAACCAGTCTAAATTAAAATAGTTAATAATAGAATTAGTTTGAAACAGATTATCAGATGTTAACCTCATACTGGCCAACATTTGCTGATCAGCAATGTGGAACACCTGTTCATACTGTATTCTACAGACAACATAAACTATACTATGATAAAAAGATATCATTTTTTGTCCCACATTTGTGGTGCCCCATACATGGACGGTGCCCTTAGCATTGGCCAATACCGCCTATGCTATGGGCCACACCTGCTTAAAAAAKTAAGAGAATCATCAAGTCTCTATGTGGTGCTTGTTTCTATGACTTACTTCCTTGTTTACTATGACATCATATTCAGGCTGTGACCAGGTTTTCTAAAACCATTGTAATAACATGTGATTAGGGGCCATTTTGTACGAATCTGTTTGGCAGAAAGGTTCGGTCAGAATGGACCACAGCACTGTAGTGTGATAAACTTTATATGTCTGACCGATTTCTTGATGTCATTGGACTCATTACTTTTCATTGTTGCAGTTTGCACTAGCAATTAACCATAGAAGTCTATATAAGTAACAATGCATTGAAGAATTCATAGCAATGTAAAGATGGCAGCTATCCGCTTTGTTGTTAGCATGTCGATCCAGTCAGGACTGAACTCTAATTTAACAAACTCAGGCTGTTAGGTAGACAATGTTTATGTGTTCGTGTGTCTGTTAGCAAAGTTTATCATGAACTAGAGGACACACTTTAGTAAAGCTTCTAAAAATTGACAGCTGGTCAACTTTTGGAGCCAATTCAAGATGACTACCAAAGCAACACAAAGATAGTTATAACTCAGTCAGTTTTACAGATGTTGTACTAAAATGTTGCATACTTTCAGCTGAGAGTCCTTCATAACATATACTCCAAGTCAGATATAAGTTGGATCCAGGAATACAAACCAACACAAGGAGCTCATGTAAAAACTAAACATTCTTTTTTAGTATAAAACTTTAATTGAGACACCGGGTCTCATTTCTCAAGAGAAAGCTCATTTCAGGTTGTCTTCTCATAACAAACTGTGTGCATCGTCAACCTTTAAATATATTCGTATTATTTTGAATTCAGCTTCCTGTCAGTTGTGTTTGTTAGGCTGTGTGATTGTGTCAGACTGTGTGTGTTTCTAAATGAGCGTGTACATGACAGAAAGGGTTACATTTAATCCACCGGCCTATTCACACGGACAGCTAAGCGGTTTGGAGTGGCTCTCATCTCTGGATCCTCTTGTCTCCTTTAGATTGGACTCTATTGTGCGAACGTATGCGTGTGTGTGTCTGCGTGAGCGTGTGCGATGGAGAGAGAGAGATGCTCCATTGTAGAGAGATGAGTCGGGGTAGCATGTTTACAGCCCGGTCCGTCACCTTGGCAACAGAGTGGCTCTCATCCTTCTCATCCGTCCTGAGCATTATCATCTACTGACAACACACACACACACACACACACACACACACACACACACACACACACACACACACACACTTAACAGGTGTGGCAACCATGAACAGAGTAGGCAGTGCAAATAATATAGAAACCCTGCATTTTTATACTTGTTGGTATAATTTTAGTTATTTATT